AAAAATGTCTTACTAAACATTTCACTTACACTTAGCTGTGATCATCCATATTGATGTGATTATGGTGCAAATTATCTTTTTTTTTTTTTCATTGCTTTATGTGGCATCTAACTTTCATTGTCATGTCTTCAATGTTACTTAACATATCAAAGATTTTATGAAGTATTTCAGTGTCATATTTGCATGAATAAATGGACTCAAACTCCAAACCCTGAAGACCAATGCAAGTTTATTAAAAGAGCTCAAACAGAGAATGAAATTACAGTGCAGAGACCGAGCATCGGGACACCAGAGAGGAAGTCTGATTGAGATTGTATTGTTCTTATTTACTCGTACTTACCTTGTGCACTCTCAGGTGGGTAAGGCGGGAAGCAGTGACAGTGGACGGTAGACATGCAGGGAATTTCCAGGTAAGCGAGACAAACAGCAGCCATCGTAGTTTTTCAGGAAAGTCTTTACTTATTACATGAAACAGCCAAACCTTGAGAAGGAGAAGGCAAAGTCAAATTATGGGAAATAGTGGAAGTTTCACCTGGCCTTTTGAATCGCAGTGTAATGAATAGATGTTAAGCAGCGGTGCTAGCTGGAGCTAGAGACAGCAGTAACCTCACATAAGTCCAGGACAAAACCAGAACCGTACCCAAACTCCACCTGAGAGCAAAGAGAGAGAGAGAGTGGCAAAGAAGGACGAGAAGGGCTTAGCCGAATGATGATATTCAAGACTTGATTTAAAGATGCAGTGTGTCTGCACACTCCCATAAAACTCTGATAACTCAGTTCAGACTCAATGAATTTCAAACAGAATGCCCCGATATTTCTGTCAGGGAACACTGTGTGCTTTTGAGGCAATATCAGGGCATCTGATCGCTTTAAGAAGTCAGACACTCAACCTTGACATGTATTTAAATATATGATTAATGTATTATTTAACTACTCTGCAGACAGGTACCATATATTCATCTTACATTGAATCCCTGTCTGTCTGGAACATCTTTAATTTTGTTTTTTTTAATATATAAATACTCATTTATTTCACAAACAAACTAATAATGCAGCCTTTTTTCTGGGGTCACTATTTGCCCTTAACATTTATTCTGTCTGTCAATTCCATTTCACCCATTTTGTTTCAAACTCTTTATGGCATGATATTAAAAATCCAAATTTAATGTTGTTCCAGAGTGGAGAAAAAAAAGTAAAGCTTCTGGTCCCGACCAGAACACGTTCTTTTGATTTTAGCACTGCTGGGATTATGTCCATTGAAATTGCAACTTGCTGCAGGCAAAATGATAGTCAGCCAGAGTTTCAACCTTAAGCTGTATAACGTCAGAGGAATTTTAGAGGCTCTGCAAGCAAAAGCAAACCGCATTTAAAGCTCTGAACGTGTTTTACTGTAGAGCTCATTCTTTTGAGTGAGAGTGTTCCTGTTATGAAAAACAGCACGTTGTACATCAGGCTGCGCTCTCTTACAGTTCAGCTGCTTAACATTTAAAATGTAATCAGAGGTGTTGCATTCCCTTCGGGCAATGGACTCCACCATCTGCACCGGTGGTACATTTATAGTAAACACTGGCTTCTGATGTTTCTGCAGATACTATGGTGACCATAAGACATCACATGGCCCTGTTGAAAAAACAACAAGTTTTAAGACTTTGTATTCTAGACAAACAGAAAGTCGGCAGCATCAATACTGGTTTCCCAGCATTACGAGGAGATGGAAATATGTATTTCCGAAGAGGCTGTTTAAAAGCTTAAGTGCACATGCGATCATTTAAATGCATTTCGACCCATTTTCCCTCAGCAGTTGATGCATTAGAACACATTTTCATTAAAGGTGGCGGTCTGGGATCGGTCTGCTTTTATATAAAGAGATGGAACCCCAGGACATTATATGCAATTTTCATCTGACCTTTAACTTTCGCCATTAGGCGGGCAAATGGTAATTGTAGGTGGCTCACATCTCCCACAATCCCATAATTCATTTACTGGTGGCGACCTGTGGGAAATGTGTTTGTATCAGATTATAAACCAAATAAAAGTGATTCATAAGATAAATGTGAGATTTTGCACTGACTTGTGGATGCCTGCATTACACTTGACATAATTTTTACATAATATTTAGGCTATTTCTTTCTAGGTTTCTTCTCTTCTTCCTTTTTGCCTTTGTGGCATTTCACCACAGTAGTAGAGAGCAGGCAGAAATAAATCTTACTTGTACGCTGTTAAAATAAAGAGCCCATCCACCCAAACATATGCCTGATGACACTTGATTGCGCCTTTTCACAATCGCACACTAAGTACATATAAATAATGTGTAGTTTCACACCATTGTTGTATTTTTTATGTGGCTCTTTTGTTATTAATACTTTTTGTTAAGAGACAGAATATTAAAAACAACCTGTACACCAACTGTGACACACAGTGAGCGAAGCTCTCCACGTTATGTTTGTTTTCACTTCCACAGACAGAGAATGTCAATGTCAAGGCTCCAGTGAGAGAAAATAACCAATTACTAAAAACATTTAGGCAAGTTTGTTTAGTGCTTTATTAGGTACATCTTCATCATTAACACAAATATATAATCAGCCAATCACATGAAAGCAACTCATTGTATTTAGGCATGGTCTAGATCGCCTTCTGAAGTTTACGCTGAGCATCAGAATGGGGGAAGAAAGGTAACTTAGGTGACTGCGATATGGTTGTTGGTGCCTGACTGGCTGTGTCAGTCTGACATGGCGGACCGTGTGGAGAGAAGAGAGCAGACCCAAGTGCAGGCAGTGACGGCAGAGTAGCTGTGAGTGAGTTTTATTTATAGTGAAAGACAAAATGCAAACAAAAGCAGATCATGGTAGGCACTTAAACTAACAAAATAACATGAGGAATGTAGAAAACATTACCCAAAAAACCCTGAGCACCAGGAGTGAGACGTTTGAGACATAAACACCAAGGAGGCACCGATGAACAGACAATCTGACGGGGAGCAAAGGAGAG